TCACGCGATGACGCACGCTGGCGCCACCTACGGGGGGATGAGGTTATTGTGCGTTGTCGCGCGCGCGCGCGGCTAGCTGCGCCGCGGGCGGGCCGGCGTCGACCGACAATCTGGCTTCCACGAACGCGGTGTGTGAACGACCCCGCGTGAGGTCGCGTGGCGCTCCCGGCAAGCTGCGGTTGTTTGTCGTTTCCCGCGACGACAGGATGTACTTGGACAGTTATCGGGTCAGAATGCTGCGACGGATGTGGAGAGATCACACGGCCCTCACGCGACAGAAAAAGCTCGGTTCACGTGCCTCCTATGTGCATAAGTACACACGAGGATAGACCTTGTACGTGCGTGCGTGTGCGTGCGTGCGTGGGTGTGTTGCCGTGGTGCGAGAGGCAGGGTACTTTTGGTGTATCGTCATGTGCACGCTGCCTCCATTATGATTACTGTGTAACCAACAAGTGTGGGATGCTTTCTGCATTTAGCTATCTGCATCAGCATCTTCACACGTGCAATGACCCCACAGTGGAATTATTTGCGAGGCTGCGATTTTTTTCGCAATGTCGTTGGCAATCACACTACCACAATGATTGCGCGCTCACTCGCAAGTGTTTGATGATCCCAATTAGTTGTAATTGTCATTCGTACAAAGCGAGTTGAAATATTGATGGACTTGGTAGCACGGTTTGTGGTGTAACCACTTCGTGCGATCACTCAATCGAGAAGGATAATGAAGAGGTTGATGATGTATTTCGTTGCGTTGTTTGCCAGTTTGTGATGTAAATAGTTTTGTGTAGCTCTCGATTTTTTTCCTGACCTGAAGGTGTGTGCTAATCTTTTGCTAGCGGGCTGCCGTGCTGCACAAGCATGAGGGCGAGATTTTGTAATTATTCCCGATGTCTTAGCCTTGTCGCTTTTTTCCTACGCAATGCCATCTTCCAATGCTAACTATGCAACATTGAGAGTTTGTGCCAGGTCGCATTAGCAATCAAGAAGTTGCACCAGTTTGCGTGAAGCGTTCGTGTTCGGACGCGTGATAATTTTTCCCCACCTTAACATAAACGGTAGCTGACAAGTTGATCATGATGCGTCATGTTGTATGTATTGTATTAAAAGCGCAGCTGGTGAAGAAAAGTGTGCTAGTTTAGAACGGCCCGTGGCCGCGACAATCAGGTTTTTTTTCGCACTTTTGCTAGGTTTTTGTGCTGCTTTCACATTCCTCACCTTTTTGCAGCACGCGGGGAAGCCTGCACCACCGCTGCTGTTCACTTAGCGGGAAGCAGATGTAGCAATTGTTCGTATTGAGATTTTAATAAGCCTGGTTTATCAGGCATTGCTGTCGATGCATTCGGATTGCGCATTGGATGCTGTGATGGTAGGAAGGAGACTGCGCACGTGGTCCTCGGTTTGGGGCTCAACGATCTGGAATTTGAGGGAATTCTGCATCACTCGATTGAATCTGCCTGATGCGTGTGTTATTGTGCGCGTGTGCGTGCGTACGTGTGTTATTGTGCGCGTGTGCGTGCGTTGTGTGTGTGTGTGTGTGTGTTGTTGTGTGTGTGTGTTGTGTCGTCGTGTGTGTGTGATCGTGGCGATCCTTATCCGAGAGAGAGGGAGGGAAATACTGAGGAAGGGAGTGAGAAGGGGAGGAGGAAGGAAAGAGAGAAATGAGGAGGGACGGAAGGAGTGGAGGAATGCAGACGCATGATGACACGAGATGTGGCGACGGCATGCGGCCAGTCACACCGCAGAAAA